AAACTATGGGATGAGATGTATCGCAATGAACCGAGAGACTTGATTCTTGAACAAGATAGATAGAAGAACCTGAATAAAGCATAATGGATGACGTTTGGATGTGAAAACAGTATCCGATTACAGAAATACGGCTTAATAGCTTTGTTTAAATTCCTATATTAAAATCATCATTACCATCATTACTATGAACAGAGGAAGTCCGTATTTATGTTAAAGAGCATGAATATGAAGACCTGTGCTATTTCTCGTTTTGCAAAGGAGTGGCAGTGGAATTTGACTGAGTTGTGGCTTTTCAATTGCCTAGACTTAGGCTCGTCATGCTCGTCGTTTTAGTCCTTTCAAGGGAAAAATGAGGTTTGAGCATATATGGTTGTAGCAAAATTACTCACATTAGATATGCTACGGTAGACAAAGATCGATGGTGATATGATCAATGCTGAGGTTTCCGTGTTGATCAGTTTGAGGCGTCTGAATAGCAGCGCTATCGCTTTAATGATCATGCGCACGCTGATGTTGACACTCAACAGAACTCGCAGTGAGGCCCACTTATTACCGATCGTCTCAGAATCCAAAACATCAATAGCTATGTATACATATCAAAAGAGTGTTAACCAAATGGTTAGAAAATCATGCAACCACAAGCCCTCATTCTGTGTGAATCAAGTGTTGCTGCTGCTTCTATTTCCGCCATTAAAGGCCAGCGAAATAATCAAGATTTATTATTTATGATTTATACTTTTATGAACTGTATCTCAAATTGATATTAGTCAACCTGCACTGCTAAGGCAAAGGTTATATTACTCGACTTTGGGATGTTTAATCGAGAAACAGCCAGAAAAGCAGTCTTCTTCTTCTTGCGTATTGCTCCACACAACAAAGACGACGCCGGGTGCCGTGCAGCCATTCTACCAGTATCAAATGTATGCATACTTGAGCCCCTCAGTCGTTTCAACTTCATGTCAGATCAGACGAGATCGTCCCAACTCATTGGAAATTATTCTGGCGGCTGCCCCTCATTAGGCCTTGTATTCTCTATTTGCTTCGCAATGAGGCTATCTTCCATTCGCTGGAATTAGCCCCGTTATCTTACCACTTTTTTACAGCCATTCGGTCACTTAAGTTGGATATTTTTTTATCGCAGTCGAATTGTACACCAGATCGTACCTTAATATTTAAAATCTCCATTTCCGTCTATCCAGTTTTCTGATTTCAACTTGCTTAACTTTAGTCGTTAAGTCTTCAAGCCGTACCGAAGGATGTTCAGGATCCAAGCCATGTATATCCGCACTATTTTGTTGTTGCCAACAACTTTGTCTTCTAGAACTCGAATAGCTTGCCACCTGCTGATAATGCAAACGCAGAGCGCCTCTCAAATTCATTTGTCCTCCCTCAGCTTACGACCGATGTACCAAAATCGTACCCATGTTATGCTACCTATGCTACCCTTAGAAGAACTTCAGTGTCGAAGGTCAGACAGGCATTAGTCTGGATTGTACCAATTTCTATCCACTTCTTCTTTAAGTTGATGGACAGGACCAGATCAGAACACCTATGTTTCAGAGATAGAATGGTAATGTTGCATCTTCGAGGTTTCCGCAATCAATACGTCATCATTCGCAATTGCAAGAGAGCTTACAGTAAGCGTTGTTCACTCTTGCTGTCGTAATTTCACCTCTTCGTTTTGGTTTGAAAACGTAATCAAGAAACATCGCAAAGAACAGTACTGTGTCCACTCATTCTTGCCTTAGTCCAAACTTTGTGCGAAAGACACAGCCAATTTACACTGCACTTGTCGAAAGATCCCACGTCTTATTAATTATGCCAATAACGCCAGATGGGATTCTATATTGTTAGCCACTAACGTTCCACTAGGCACGCTTCCAGATTAGGTCAAGTGATTTGGCGAAATTGACGAATATTGCAAAAATATGGATCAACATTCTCTGACTCATTCTGAACATCTCGTCCAAACATGCTCTGACTGTCCTGAATACAGACTGCTTTTTGACCAAGATCTTCTCACGAGTTTTTCTAATCCTGTTCCCAATAACAGGCATGAACACTTTAGCAAGAATATACAGTAGGCTAGTTCTACGGTCAGTATTTGGACCTGATCAAGAACCTTTCTTGAATATTGGCGTAAAAATATTTTTCGATCAGTCATTCGTATTTTTTCCTGCCATATCAATCCCAAGAGATTCATTAATGCCAGCAGACGAATCATTCCAGGTTTCTTAATTAATTCTTCTATTTCATAAAATCATGCAGCCGTGCCATTTTTCATTTAGCTTAAGGATTTAGTCACTTCTTCAAGTGCCCTTGTATAATATGAAATAGTGAATCTTGTTTTACAATCATATCAGGGACTGGTAGCGATTCATGATCCCGAGTGTTTATCCATCTCTTGGTAACTTCTGTAGGATCGCATGTGATATTACCGTCTTCCTTTATCACGGACATTCATCGAAGTAATAGTGGCGCTTCTTAAAAAGATCGTCATGTTGTTTCTCCGCGCCACATCTTGCATTAATTCAGCCTGTCCGTAGCACACGGGGTCTTTCCTTTCTCTTCTGAAGCATCGGCTGTGGTGAATCTTGACTAGCCTGCTCTTTTCTGACAACGGTTTAGTGTACTTTAACGGCTTCCTGCATCTATTCTTCCGTTTCATTTGTTCTGTCGTTGTTAGTACTGCTTCCTTGTATATGCTTTAAGCTTCTTCCACAGGATTCATCACCAGCATAATCAATAAGAAGTTTCAATATTCCACCGATCTTGACCTGATCCTCTTGGGAAACTTCTGGATGTTTAAGCTTGTAGCCTTGAAACACGTGGTCAATTTTTGGCTGTTGATCAAGGATTACAGCTTTACTTCAACCTCAGCCATCACCAACTCATGGTCGCTGCCATATTCAGCACTTCTGTACACCCTGACATCTTCTAAGCGTAATCGATGACTTTTGGTGACGAGAACATTAGATTTCCATGTGACGATCTTTCGCAGTTATTTGTGAGAAAACTATGTGCCACCAACAGGAAGATCATGCCTCAGGCACAGATCTGTTAATTGTTCACGGTTATTATTTACCTAGTCAGTATACTATAAAAAGTCTAATCAAATTAATTAGATTACTTAAATTTTCCTAATAGTATGCCAGAAGATAGAAGTCTATAAAATGATCATTCAAGTGGCTCTCGAAGCTCTTGAACAAGAAGTCTCATTAGAGAAGGACGTTAATTAGAGGTGAATTTTTAATGATCTTTTCGTGAGCAGTGGCGCA